ATGAGCAATAGATTTTATTCACACAGCAGACCAGTGGAAAGTTGTATTGGTAATTGGTATCGGCAAGTAACTGAGGGAAAGTACTTGCACTTGGTCTTGAAAAAATTATATCGGGACATCCCTACTTGCTACTAAGAGAAGTATGGGCCCATCCATTGCTGACCTGGTTCTGAAACAAGCATGCAAAGCAGGATAAGCAGAGGGAAGGCAGAATTCTTGATCTGCATACCTGAGGTTAAATGCCACATTGCACCGTAGTCACTGGAATGTGTGTCCCTATTGCACGATTCCTGTTTTGGTGACAACTGTAACATTTTGGATTTTCCATCATTTTCGGTTGGCAATGGTCACCAGGACAAACAGAGGAGGTGAATCTCCCAAGCAAGGACAGAGCAAAAAAAAAAAAAAATGTTTTTTGGCTAGATGTAGAAATCATTAGCTTTCCTGCCAACTTTGATGTGAAATCCTTTTAAACCAAGAACTGGGAAAGCAAAATGAAATAAAAGGAAACAGCTAGAAAAACCTTACACAACATCAACCGCCATGCAAAAATAAAAGGTGTATGTGCAATTCTCCTTTTTAAGCTCAGTCAAAGAAAGATGCTGAAGATGTTAGTTGATAGACTGTCTCTGACTTCAACAGCTTCTAAGTCGCTAACTTGAAAGAAGCAAGCATCAAGTGAGGTCTAAATTCCTAATAGGCATACTTCTTCTAGGCCAGTGATATAGAAGCTACGGAGAACAAAGACATGCAGGCATGTAGCATATTCGCAGGACAGCAATAGCAGTTCACATTTTCCTTTCAGATTTTTCCAAGATGTCCTTCAAGAGGTCTTGAAAAAAAAGTATCTTTCGTGTGTATTGGTTGTGCTGTACAATGACAATCAAAGACTACATGACGATGCCTATGGTCCTTGTTTTAAATTCAGTGGCATGCTGTATATCTAAAGCTCTCGGGGAAGATATAGGTCCATAAACAGACTCCTCGTGGACAGAAATCTTGCCCTGAATAAATGCTAAAACACAGAATTTTTTTTTTTTTTTCCCAGCTACTTCACAAGTGTGAAAACTTTGCCAGTGGCCAGATTTAAAACCACAACAGGACCAAGTTTTACATAGCTAAGCGATATTTTGCAAACTTGTGACACTTTCTTCTTCTTTTGGCAAGAGCAAAGTTCACATAGAAAAAAAAAAACTAGACACTTTTTATTTTTTTGCTTTTTTCCACATGTGCAGTATATTTTGGTTGATCCCTGGAATGCAAGACTATGCAGAAACAATTAATACTTTACAGCATGTTGGACTGTACATCCTGCATGACAGAAACTGAATACCCTGGCCTCCACTACTAACAGGATTTAGGCCACCTTTGCTGACCCCATTTTGAATCCTTGATCCCCCACATAGGCACAGGTGGTTTTCAACTGGAGAACATTCAACGTTCCCCATCCTAAATAAACAGCAGCTTTGAAGTATGTGTAGACTAATTAACAGCATGTTCAGTATTCCACAACTTTCCACTGGTCTACTGTGGGAATGAAACCAAATTTAATGACAAAACTGCCAACAAGAGAGCTGGAACGCAGGCCCTATTGAGAAATAACTACTATGCAATGTCCTTGATTAAAACAGACAATTAACTCTTCATCCTTTGTTATTCCTTGAGTACCATGTAAAAGTGATGAGGGGGGGGGAACAAAAGTAGAAAGGAAATCGCACCTAAAAGTGAAATAGGAGTATTATCATAACAGCTATGGTACCTGGGTGAGGACAAACAAAGTACTAGGAAAGTCTAAGCCTAGGCCACACAACCCAACAAGAGTAAAAGTGGACTTTGCAGTAAAACGCAAAGGTTGGCTTACTAGGTCCTAACCCCTGCCTCTCTAAAAATCAGGCTTGCCTCTGCAGTCATTGCTTGCTGGGACCGCTGGGTGGTCCTAGCATACGACATCAAGGTCCTCCTCCTTTGCTGCCATTGGTTGCTAGGACCGCTGGGCGGTCCTAACAACCAGTGACAAATGTGATCATTACGCTCTCCTCTGTCCTCTCCTGCAGCTCCCAATGTGGCCTGTTAAAAAAATAAATAAAACCGGTATGTGTGGAGTTTTGGCATGTGTGTGCTGGCCACTCGTATAGTGTCTGCAGTTCCCATCCAGCAGCGACTAACGCTCCTACTGTGCGCTACAGTGCAGCAGGTGCATTGTATACCCTACTTTTTTTCAACCACATGAAACTACCATGCATTGCGGCGCAGTCAATTATTTGGGCCAGGAGGTGTGTTTGGGGTGCCAGTGTGGCAACGTAACGCATGGTTGGTGCAATGTGCGGTACCATGCGTTAATCAGATCAGCCCTCCACAGCTGTCCCAGTTTCTCATGTGGCCCCTCGAGAAAATTGCCCGTCCCTGGTCTAACCCCTCACCATTCTATCCAAAACTAACAAAACACTATTTTGGCATTATATATACTTTACATAAAAGTTTAATTCTTTTTTAGCTTGTAATACCGGTAAAAAAAGGGTAAGCTAAAACATTATTTTAGAAATATATAGAAATAATGTTTTAGCGTACCCTTTATATATATATATATATATACACACACATACATACATACATACATACACTTGCTTTGCCGCAGGAAAAATAACTGTTTAAACAAGATTATTTCGCAAAAGATTGTGTAAAAGTAACTGCACATTGACACTGGCAGAAAAAATGAAATGTATTAAAGGTCTACCTGTTGTTTTAAGCTTCGTAATTAACTTTAAAAAACACACTGTCCTACAGTCAGGGGAGTTTTATTTCACATTGCAGAAGAGTTTGTTTGAACAGGAAAACGCAAGTACATGACCTGCTCTTATAAAACCTCTGATCTAGACTGGCTGTACTACAGGGCGCAACCCCTTCACACAGTGATCCTCACAATGGACAGATCAGCAAAAATGGAACATTTAATATGCAAAGCCTGAAACCTAAGACAATACGTTTATGTCGGCCTCAAAATGATGACCTGCTGCCATCTGCTGAATCAGTTCATCGTTTTGCAAAGTTGTCTTTGGATATTTTGTAAAGATTCCTATCTATCTAAACATACTTGTATACCAAAAATCCATAGAGACCAGAAAATAAGACAAACTGGCTGCTGTTTTGGACTCTCCATACACAAGCTATAAAGCTCTGAACATGAAGAAGCACAGTGAGGTGAATACACATGAGTGCAAAGTGTAGTGTTCCTGAAATCTTCCCTGCATGGTCTAGGACGGGCCAGACGTTCCATGCACACTCATTTTCATTGCCCCCCACCCCTGCAGACGACGAAGTGTCTCACTTGAACTGATTGACAAGAAGAAGAAGAGGAATGGTATTTTTTGACTTACAGGTCTTTAGTGCTAATCCCAGCTGGTCTTGCATTGTATCTATACATTTGGGAAGAACAGGATCACTCATTTCAGATATACTGTTCTTTACATTTTCAAGGACTCTCAGTTCTCTATATCCACGCTTTTCCTACAAATAAAAACAAAAAACAAACAATGAAGCTGTACACATATAAATTACACATAGTTATTAAATGTATAAGTAAAGGTGGCCATACACTTTACAACCATCGCAAGACTTTAGTCTTGCGATGGTTGTAAAGTAATTTAAAAAACGTACGATCTGCCAATCTTGGACAGGCAGATCGTACTTGCGATCATCGCAAGCCCGCCCCACTGAGGGGTGGGCTTCCGATGACCGCAATGCTGAACGGGCAGTGTGCGCGTGCGCACACCGGCCCGTTCTGCATTTGTCTCCCGAACATGCTCCTTAGACAAAAGACGTGCGACCGTACAGTAAAAACGGTCGTACGCCTTCCATACACTGCACGATTCTCGTACGATCGCGGTGCAGTGTATGGGCACCTTTACACATATTATGCAATTAACATAAATCAATCTTTTTTTTCCTACCCAGCTGCTCCATTACAGATTGGAGCGCAGATATTGCTCTTGCAATCCAGGACTGTAGCTATCCAAGATGTATGGTGCTTTAATTAGGGCTTGTTCACACCAGCCTGAATGGGTGGTGCCTCATGTTATTATACACCTGTCCAAAATGAGATTGCTGGGGACACAGCTAATCACTCAGGAGTTTCATGTCAGCCAGTGTTTAGCTGCTTACAATTAATGTATCCAGTAGATTGAGCCGCCATTCACACACAGCAAGCTTGGTGAACATGGGTGGGTACATGAATACAGTACAGTGTGATTTGTTTTTGTCTGATGCTGTCCTCTATAGTACTGAGCTTTGCTGTGTGAGACAAACACACATCAGACATATGAATGGATGGGTTATATAGTAAGTCCCCTACATACAAACATTCAAGTTGCGAACTTTTAAAGATACAAGACATGCATCGCATATCTAATCATCCAAGTTAGTTCACACGTCTGGCATACACGTGCGCGTGAGTGTGCGCTTTTGTGTACAGTACTGTATAGAGTACAGTATCTTTATTTCAAGCCCAGGATGTCCAGAAGCAATGCGCCCGCCCCAAGATGCTTTGCGGCCGCCCGTGCAGTTTTACATTTTCGGACGGGAGCGTGCAGGGAAGACACAGGTAAATTTAAACCGCTGTTAAAGCGTTTAAAAAAAAAAACTTTTTGCATATATCTATTGCTTGCTAGTAGTAGATATATGCAAAAAAAAACTGAGGGTTTAGAAATCCTTTAACGTTTTGCTATTCCTGCTTACAGTGACCCATGCCATTCCTGGTTCTATTCCATCTAAGGCCTCATTCACAAAGCTAAGACCCGACACGTACAGATCCGTGCAGCGTGCATGGCCGTATCGGGCCGCTCCCGGGAAGGACAGGTGCTGCGTGTGATTGTACGCAGCAGCCTGTTCTTCTCTATAGGAGTACGCGGCCATACTCTCACCCGAGCTGCACATCAGTGAGGGTGCCCGTACTCATACGCAGACATGATGGATCCTGTCAAGAGGAATGGTATTTTTTGACTTACAGGTCTTTAGTGCTAATCCCAGCTGGTCTTGCATTGTATCTATACATTTGGGAAGAACAGGATCACTCATTTCAGATATACTGTTCTTTACATTTTCAAGGACTCTCAGTTCTCTATATCCACGCTTTTCCTACAAATAAAAACAAAAAACAAACAATGAAGCTGTACACATATAAATTACACATAGTTATTAAATGTATAAGTAAAGGTGGCCATACACTTTACAACCATCGCAAGACTTTAGTCTTGCGATGGTTGTAAAGTAATTTAAAAAACGTACGATCTGCCAATCTTGGACAGGCAGATCGTACTTGCGATCATCGCAAGCCCGCCCCACTGAGGGGTGGGCTTCCGATGACCGCAATGCTGAACGGGCAGTGTGCGCGTGCGCACACCGGCCCGTTCTGCATTTGTCTCCCGAACATGCTCCTTAGACAAAAGACGTGCGACCGTACAGTAAAAACGGTCGTACGCCTTCCATACACTGCACGATTCTCGTACGATCGCGGTGCAGTGTATGGGCACCTTTACACATATTATGCAATTAACATAAATCAATCTTTTTTTTCCTACCCAGCTGCTCCATTACAGATTGGAGCGCAGATATTGCTCTTGCAATCCAGGACTGTAGCTATCCAAGATGTATGGTGCTTTAATTAGGGCTTGTTCACACCAGCCTGAATGGGTGGTGCCTCATGTTATTATACACCTGTCCAAAATGAGATTGCTGGGGACACAGCTAATCACTCAGGAGTTTCATGTCAGCCAGTGTTTAGCTGCTTACAATTAATGTATCCAGTAGATTGAGCCGCCATTCACACACAGCAAGCTTGGTGAACATGGGTGGGTACATGAATACAGTACAGTGTGATTTGTTTTTGTCTGATGCTGTCCTCTATAGTACTGAGCTTTGCTGTGTGAGACAAACACACATCAGACATATGAATGGATGGGTTATATAGTAAGTCCCCTACATACAAACATTCAAGTTGCGAACTTTTAAAGATACAAGACATGCATCGCATATCTAATCATCCAAGTTAGTTCACACGTCTGGCATACACGTGCGCGTGAGTGTGCGCTTTTGTGTACAGTACTGTATAGAGTACAGTATCTTTATTTCAAGCCCAGGATGTCCAGAAGCAATGCGCCCGCCCCAAGATGCTTTGCGGCCGCCCGTGCAGTTTTACATTTTCGGACGGGAGCGTGCAGGGAAGACACAGGTAAATTTAAACCGCTGTTAAAGCGTTTAAAAAAAAAAACTTTTTGCATATATCTATTGCTTGCTAGTAGTAGATATATGCAAAAAAAAACTGAGGGTTTAGAAATCCTTTAACGTTTTGCTATTCCTGCTTACAGTGACCCATGCCATTCCTGGTTCTATTCCATCTAAGGCCTCATTCACAAAGCTAAGACCCGACACGTACAGATCCGTGCAGCGTGCATGGCCGTATCGGGCCGCTCCCGGGAAGGACAGGTGCTGCGTGTGATTGTACGCAGCAGCCTGTTCTTCTCTATAGGAGTACGCGGCCATACTCTCACCCGAGCTGCACATCAGTGAGGGTGCCCGTACTCATACGCAGACATGATGGATCCTGTCTGTGTCCGAGCACGGACACCTGCACCCGCACGGATGTGCAGCTTGGGTGAGCGTATTGCGGCATAAGGCCACCTACTCCCATAAAGAAGAACAGGCTGCTGCGTACAAATCACACGCAGCACCTGTCCTTCCCGGGAGCGGCCTGATGCGGCCGTGCACGCCAAACGGATCTGTATGTGCCGGCTCTTAGCAGTGTGAATGAGGCCCAACAGTTACTGTGCATGGAGACTGTTGTAAGCTCCTTGTAACTTGCATTTCCATGTCACAGCTCCCTAGCACAGGTACTGTTAGAGTTAATAGCAAGAGGAACAGCATAGTTTTGAGGGTGTTGTAAGCTCATTATTGCTTTCTTTCTTATGTCACAACTCTCTTGTTCAAGTACTGTTAGATGTGATAGCAAGAGGAAAGAAAGGTTTGCATTAATGCTCCAATAAATTCTATAGCAGAGTGGTGCTAGAGACATTTTCAGGCCCCAGTCTTGTTCCAAAGGTGCTGGATTATCTCCATCTTGCAGTATGTTCATTTTCTCTCGCCAGCAACATTTCTTTGTAAGATTTCCAGTAGTAATTAGCCATTACACTATGGGACATACAAGGCTCATGTCTAAAATTCATAATAAAAATATA